CCGTTTGTAGGATTGCCCATTTAGGGCTTTCAGGAGAAGAGCCAATATTCAAAAAACACTTCGTAAAAAGGCCGTGCGTCATCAGCCTCAGTTTGTAAAGGCCAACGCCAATCTACCTTCCTTTTTGGGTCTCTTAGGAAACAATATTCCACGGTGTGGGCAGCCTGAAAACGACAAACGCCCCCATACCAGTGACAGCACACGAGGCCGAATTGGACGAAATCAAAACCTTTCAACACCACCACACATACCTCTCATATCTCCATGACATTCTTATATCACACTGCGCAGCCAAAGCGAACGATGCGAGTTTATGAAACGTTATTTCTAGTCTCCGGAAACCTCGCTCTATACTATATTTTGGAGCGTTTATTTACGGACATTGTGTCAAATTGGGCAACAGGCTTCATTAGCGAGGACTTCGAAATCTCGCGCCATCGATGTACGCTGCGTCTGTGAAACGCGCATACAGGACTCCAGTAGCATTATTTATTTGACCTCACCAAGTCACAGTAAAGAAGCAGCTCGATATACACTTCGGGTATCTGGTAACCCTGATGCTGCTTCCAGAGGTCTCGCTAGTGTAGGTATAACATTGAGTCGTAGAGCAGAACAATCTCTTTGAGACCGGATCCCACTAGACAGTTGCTTGTACGCCGTGTGACTTAACTGGACAGTAATGAATGGGAAGGATAGTGAAACCGGTCGTTGCCTCTTCATCACATCAGCCCACGCAGATCAGACAATGTGATAGATTGGTTTTACGTAAATCTCCTGGAACTCCTCAAAAAGGTGATTGCCCTGGTATAGTTATAATGGCTAGTGTTTTCAATGCTCAAGCAGTTAGACTACGTGAAAATAAAAAACACCTTGGTGGATGTTATGGTGTCGCGGTTCAGAGAACAGACAATGGCGACCGTCTGTTGCAAATATGCTCAGATGACCGCCTATTCTTTGCAAACAATAACTTTAGGCGTGAGCAAACGCATCCCTGGGCCTCGCGACCTCGAAAGTCGTCTCGAAGTTGGACGCAACTAGACCAGACCGCCATCAGCCACCGAAGGAGAGGTTCGATAAAGGGCTGTCGCTTGTTCTGGATCAAAGGTTTAGATTCAGATCATGCTCTGGTGCGAGCGCGTATTTGTTTGCGCCTTACTGGACACCAGAAAAATATCTCCAGAAAACCTCTTATGGATTTACCTAATGATTATCAAGCTAAGAAAATATTTCAGGAGGAACTAAAAATACACTTGAGCAACCATACTAATGATTCTCATTCAAAGATAGGTTGGAATGATATCAAAAAGGCTGTTGAAATAGCAGTGATATCTGCAAGTAAGGTAAACGGTCAGGCTAGTATGAGGCTGTGGATAACATTCGAATCCACCTAATTGATGAATTCTCGGAATCGAATTCCACCAGACTATGAACATGACGAATAGCGAAGTCAGCGTAAGCGCAGGCTGACTAAAAGCCCATGTAACGACCGCCAACAGTAGTTTGTTGCGATAGCAAAAGCGATAGAAAAGGCAGCGGCGATAGGCAACAGTAGACAATCTTTCCGCCTTATCAAAGAAATCAGCATTAGGAATTCGAATGTGATTGAGACTTTTGCGGAAATAGATGGTCTGATTATCCATTCTGAATCCAGGAGATCGGACCGATAGACAGAACACTTTAGGGACCAGGTAAGTCCTGAAAAGCAAATCGACGTAAGTCCTACTAGTTTATATGAAGTTGAGAAAGCAATAGGAAATCTAAAGAGAGGCAGAGCAGCAAGTCCTGGATTGCCTACTCCTGAGATGTTTAAGTTTTAACAGTTTGACTGACCGAGATCATGGTTAGGATCTGGAAACTCGACACAATCCTATCTGACTGGTCTCAGTCGCTAATTGTACCATTCGACGAGAAAGGACAAACGTCTTCTTGCGACATCCACAGAGGAATAAGTCTAACTAATATAGTTTCTAAATTGTTACCTTACATTATACTTAGACGCCTAACTAGAGCTCGTGAAAAGCAGACTCGAGAGAACCATGCTGTTTTCAGACCAGGTTGTGGCTGTGTAGACCACATCTTCACAACAGAACTAGTCCTGGAACACAGACACACATTTAGGCGTCCTACAATAGTTGTGTCTCTGGACCTTAAGGCGGCATTTGACTCTGTGGATCGTGAGATTCTGTGGCAGGTGTACCAAGGAAGTACATTAACCTTAAACAATCTCTCTACTCGAACACCACTGTTCGAGTAAGAGCACATGGCGAACTGTCATCTGAATTCTCTACATCGAGTGGTGTCCGTCAGAGCTATCCACTCTCCCCATTCCTGTTTAACTTTGTCGTGGAAATCCTCTTAGGGTTAATATTAAGGTCGTCAAATTTTTCAGTGGTTGAATTTCTACAAAGAAAATCGCTTGCTGATCTAGAATATGCCGATGACATATTTCTATTCAGTGAAGACGCTGACAAAATGCGGAGACTTCTGACTACCCGTAGCTACAATGCAAGCATGTTTGGGATGCGGTTTCCGCCCTCGAAATGCAAAATGTTGATTCAAGATTGGGTTGCATCAGCAATTGAACTCGTGACAGGGAGTGAATTAGTCGAGTGTGTTGATCACTACGTTCTCTTATATGGATGCGAAACATAACCGATAAAAGTAGATGTTCGTAGGTTACTAGTATTCGATCACAGATGTCTTAGGGGAATTTCTCGTATATCGTAGGACAACCGAGTACGCAATGCTGTCGTTAGGAAACGAGTACTAGCGAGACGACAGTATCCAATGGTTCGAGACCTTGAACGACATGGCTTAAAATCGTTTGCAATGGCGCAAGTGCATCCATTCTTTGAGCTCTCTCAAATCCTAATCTTCTGGATTCGTCAGCACCTCTACCTTCATGTTTTTGATAATATCTCACTGAATCATTCTTCTTGAATAATATCTTCAAACCTTGGTCTTCTATATTACCAATAATAACTCTACTATTTTTATCACTATGGGATTTGATTTGACATTTGCGTCTCTGTGCTAATGTGGTATGGCAACATGAACTTTTGTGCACACGTGCAAAGTTCTCCGTTGCAACTGACTGACTGACAGACTGACTATGATATACGTTATCACAGACTGCGCGACACGTATGAGACTGATTTGTTAAACTGTATAAAACGTCAATTACCTGATGAATAACTTTTGCAGTTGAAGGAACTGTATATTCCCGATTTCCTTTGCTTCACCGATGATATCTGATAAAATATAATATATACAAGATGCGCTAACATTCAACGTGCAGTTTGAAAAGCAGCTAATTATTCACGCTAGCAGACACAGTAATCTGGTCAATTCATCTCATCCCTCACTGACTTGCAGATAGTTTACGTCTCTGCCACTAAATACATTTTTCAACATTCTGAATTGAATGTATTTCGTACAGTAATTTGTGGTCAATATTATTCTAAGTTTCGTGACGCTATATCTTTACTTTGCCTTAATAATGCAGATCACTACAGTCCACAACTGTTGTTTGTCGTCATACGTTTCTCAGTGAATAAAGTAATTGTGTTACATCAAGCTCAATGAATACTGTTTGTACATTTAGAGCTGTTCGAATTTTGACACATTAGACGATATGGCAATATGGAGAAGTGTAAATGAAAATGATGATTTCGAAGCAACAATTTATTATATTTTATAACCTAACTTACAAGGTCGTAGTATATGGATATCTTCCCGTTAGGATATATCCAAACAAGTATCCGATTCCAATCTGTAAATTGAAGAAAAATAATTTCCGAATGTGAGAGATGATTGATAGAGATTTTTTGTTATAAGTGAGGCTGCATTCACGCAGTGCAGTGGTCATCATTTATCCGACAATCACATTGTAATTTAGAATTCACTCATCCAGTATTATAGTACAGTTCCCATGAATCATTAGGTCGTTATCTCCTTCTGAATAGATAAACTGTACAAATGACAATGCAATTTTTGCAAACGTTGATGATAAACAAAATGTTCCATTTATTGACTCACTATGATCAGTTTCCGCATCCGTTTTAACAACAGCTTGTATGATTCACATTCATGGGTCTCATATTCTCAATCAACAAAGCCACCATCGGTGAATCCAAACAGAAGGTTTTTGTTGATCTTCAGTGCTTCGCACATTTTGAACGGAAAGTAAACTCCAATGTCACGTCAATCACACATTGAGCAATTCGTGAATACTTACAGTGAATTGTCTTATTTTAAAAACATGATTTTACATGATCGAATAATAATTTTATATGCACGTACTCTCTATTCTGAACCTAACTAGGCCTTGAATTACATTCCCTTCGCCTGTAAATAAACAAAGAATAAAATGCTGAGTGAATTATTGTGAATCAACTATTTTATAACTCAGCGAAAATCCGTTGTCGCCATAGCACCAAACTTTATAATAAGCATAAAAATGAAGTTTGATTATAAATGAATTCCAAATACTTGCCTTTGGAAGACAATATGAAAACTTTGAACCAATCAACTGAAATTATGATTCTTTTACTTTCGAAATAATAGATCTCCTGCAAAACTAAGAGAGACACTATATGTTTTTGAAGATGGTCAACTCGAATGAGTTATTGAAATTCTGGTACTCTGACGGACTACATTTCAATAAACTAATATGGTGAGATTGAGTGTGGGTAGTTTATAGTGACTTATCTTGCCTTAGTAATCTGATCACCGACCATGGCTAATTCGCTTTCAAAGAAACAACATCGACTGGATTTTCATGAATGAACCGTAACGATTGCCGGGACAGAGTGATTAAATGTTTATAATCAACAAATACTCCTTATTTCGCTGCAACCACGTTTTCACGTGTCTACAAGTTAACTTAACGCATAAGCAAAATTCAGTGAACCGCTATGGCGACAACGGATTTTCGCTGAGTTATAAAATAGTTGATTCACAATAATTCACTCAGCATTTTATTCTTTGTTTATTTACAGGCGAAGGGAATGTAATTCAAGGCCTAGTTAGGTTCAAAATAGAGAGTACGTGCATATAAAATTATTATTCGATCATGTAAAATCATGTTTTTAAAATAAGACAATTCATTGTAAGTATTCACGAATTGCTCAATGTGTGATTGACGTGACATTAGAATATACTTTCCGTTCAAAATGTGCGAAGCACTAAAGATCAACAAAAACCTTCTGTTTCGAAACATCGATGGTGGCTTTGTTGATTGTTGATAAGAACAGAATTCATCTGCATTCTGAGAATATGAAACCCATGAATGTGAATCATACAAGCTGTTGTTAAAACGGATGCGTAAACTGATCATAGTGAGTCAATAAATGGAACATTTTGTTTATCATCAACGTTTGCAAAAATTGCATTGTCATTTGTACAGTTTATCTATTCAGAAGGAGATAACGACCTAATGATTCATGTGAACTGTACTATAATACTGGATGAGTGAATTCTAAATTACAATGTGATTGTCGGATAAATGGTGGCCACTGCACTGCATGAATGCAGCTTCACATATAACAAAAAATCTCTATCAATCATCTCCCACATTCGGAAATTATTTTTCTTCAATTTACAGATTGGAATTGGATACTTGTTTGGATATATCCTAACGGGAAGATATCCATATACTACGACCTTGTAAGTTAGGTTATAAAATATAATAACTTGTTGCATGTAAATAATCATTTCAATTTACACTCATCTATATTGCCATATCGTCCAATGTGTCAAAATTCGAACAGCTAAAATGTACAAACAGTATTCATTGAGCTTGAAGTAACACGATTACTTTATTCACTGAGAAACATATGACTACACACAACAGTTATGGAATGTCTATTGTAAATAAACTAGTATTGATCTGCATTATTGTGGTGTAGTTAATAAAAAGCGTCACCAAACTGAGAATATTATTGACCACAAATGACTTTACGAGATACATTCAATTCAGAATGTTGAAAAATGTATTTAGTAGCAGAAACGTAAACTATCTGCATATCAGTGAGTAATGAGATGAATTGACCAGATTACTGTGTCTGCTAGCGTGAATAATTAGCTGCTTTTCAAACAGCTCGTTGAATGTTAACGCATCTTGAATATATTATATTTTTTCAGATATCATCAGTGAAGCAAAGGAAATCGGGAATATACAGTTCTTTCAACTGCAAAAGTTATTCATCAGGTAATTGACATTTGATACAGTTTAACAAATCAGTCTCATACGTGTCGCGTAGTCTGTGATAACGTATATCATAGTCAGTCTGTCAGTCAGTCAGTTGCAACGGAGCCTACATCTACCAACATGACTTCATGGATTTCCGCCATGTTCTGGTATTCATAATACATGTCCCAACCAACTCAACTGATGAAGGGTCACTATTTCATCTATTGATCTGCCATTCTTAGCCAGTACACTTTTCCTAACGACAAGATTGCGTGCTCAGTTGTCCCACGATATACGAGTCTTTCCTCTAAGACATCTATGATGGAATACTAGTAACCTACGAACATCAGCACTTATGAGACTCCTCAGATAAGTGAAGTGATCAACACACTCGACTAATTCACTCTCTATCACCAGTTCAAGTGCCGATGAAACCCAATCTTGAATCAACATTTTGCATTTCGAGGGCGAAAACCGCTTCCCAAACATGCTTGCATTGTTGCTCAGGGTAATCAGAAGCCTCTGCATTTTGTCAGCGTCTTCAATGAATAGACTTATGTCATCGGCATATTCTAGATCAGCAAGCGATTTTCCTTGTAGAAATTCAACCCCTGAAAAATCTAACGAGCCTAATGTTAAGAGGATTTCTACGACAAAGTTAAACAAGAATGAGGAGAGTGGATAGCCCTGACGGACAATACTCGATGTAGAGAATTCAGATGACAGTTCGGCATGTGCTCTGACTCGAACAGTGGTGTTCGAGTAGAGTGCTTTTATAAGGTTAATGTACTTCCTTGGTACAGCTGTCACAGAACCTCATGATCCACAGAGTCAAATGCCGCCCTAAGATCCGGGGAAACAAGTATTGTAGGACGCCTAAATGTGTGTTTGTGTTCCAAGACCAGTCGTAGTGTGAAAATGTGTTCTATACAGCCACGTCCAGGTCTAAAAGCAGCATACTCCTCTCGAATCTGCTCTTCACGAGCTCTAGTTGGGCGTCTAATTAGAATGAAAGGTAACAATTTAGAAACTATATTAGTTAGACATATACCCCTGTGATCGTTGCAAGAAGACGTTTGTCCTTTCTTGTAGAATGAGACAATTAGTAACTGAGACCAGTCAGATAAGATTGTGTCCAGTTCTCAGATTCTATCCATGATCTCGGTCAGTCTAACTGTTAAAACCTAAACGTCCCAGGGGAAGGCATTCCGGGACTTACTGCTCTGCCTCTCTTTAGATTTCCTATAGCTTTCTCAACTTCATATTTACTAGAAGAACGTACGTCGATTTGCTATTCAAGACGACTGAATGACTGAACTGGTCCCTAAAGTGTTCTGCCCATTGGTCCGATCTCCTGGATTCAGAATGGATAATCAGACCATCCTTTTCCGCAATAGTCTCAATCACATTCGAATACCAATTTCTTTGATAAGGCGGAAAGATATATCGATTTCGCTATCTCAACCCACTATTGTTCGCGGTCGTTACATGGGCTTTAAGTCAGCGTTCGCCTACGCTGACTTCGCTATTCGTCATGTTCATAGTCGGGTGGAATGCGTTTTCGAGCATTCATCAATTCAGTGGATGCGACTGAAATCCACAGCTTCATCGTAGCCTGACGGTTTACTTTACATGCAGATTTCAATGCTATTTCATCAGCCTTTTTGATATCATTACAACCTATCTTTGGATGAGAATCAATTGTATGACTGCTCGACTGTTTTTTTAATTTCTCCTCAAATATATTCTTAGGGAAAACCCTAAAAGGTTTTCTGGCGTCTAGTAGGGCGCAAACAAATACTCGCTCGCACCAGAGCATGATCTGAATGTCGTGGATATAAGAGAAGTATTATGGGGTGTTGGTAGGATTGGGTCTCGTGTGCTGTCATGAGTATGAGGGCGATTGTCGATAACCGGCTGCCCACACCATGGAAGGTTGTTTCCTGAGGGACCTGAAAAGAAAGGTAGATTAGCGTTGGTCTTAACGAACTGAGAGTGTGACTGTTTGAGGCTGATGACGCTCGGCGCTTTTACGAAGTGTTTTTCGAATATAACATCTTCTCTTGAAAGCCCTTATTGGCAATCCTACAAACGGAGACGGAAATCTGTGAGGTAGGGTGAGGTGTGACATTTTTAAGGTCGACCTATTCTAACCCTTCCTTCCTTGTGAGAAGGCGGCATCGCTACAGAAGTAAACACCATACTGCTGTCACACCATTCTACAGTCAGCAGTACGACTTTGCCCTCGGACATTGGGTAGATGCTTTTAGTATCATCGTTCTTCAATCAACCTGCCTGGCATGATAGAACATTCAGGAATATACGTTCCAGCCAGTTTAGCTCGGTTGGGTCAACACGATAAGCAAGGCCGACCACCATGTCAAGGTCGCAGCTTTAGTCATGTACTCATATCTTAGTAAATGATTAGATAATACAAACTGACGATCATCAATGAATAACGTTTATTCGTCAAAATTCACGAGATAAAAATCCGTTTGTCAGTAACTTAAAACACCAACATTCACACTGTCATCACAAGTCATTTGATTTGTTCCAGCGAAAACAAACAGTCATCATTTTGAATTTCCATTGACAAAGAATCATTAGGTCGACCATCTTTAACCTTAATCTATGTGATATTATCAGTTTTTCGTGTCTATTATTTTTTATCAGGCACGTCCAAATCGTACAGATACAATGAGATATACGTTCCTAGTGACTGGATCACAGATTTCACGTTGGTGGAGTTTGAACCGATGACAAGTATGTGACGCCCAATAAATTCATTACTTTACTTTATTTCTATTTAGTTGCTATACTGCAATCTGTTATTGTAAAAGTGTACCTCATGCAATATATCTTGGTCAGTAGATGTTCGCAATTTTGATCACGTAATGATGTTTTTGTTCAGCATATGATTTAACAAATGACAAATGAAAACATACATCAATTAATGTACGCAGTGGATCAAGTACCATTATGATTATTGATTAGAGCATTCGACAGTTTGCTTCTGAGTATATCGTGAATGGTGATTGGATAAAATAGACAGAATTTGAAATATTCTTCCATCGATTATCAATATTCATCACACACAATCAACAATACAAGTACATCTGTTCGATTCCAAGTATTTGTCCCGAAATGTGGATAGTGTTGAAAGTGTTGTGAAAATTCTATCTTCGAAGTTCAAGAGAATGTTACTAACAATGAAGTAGTCACTGTAGTCCTCAGTCAGAATAATTCTGTTCATTTTTTGTTATGTTCCCTGTCAATAATTATACTTAAACTCTTTAACCTGAAATGCACTCTATTGATTATTTTCGTAGAATTGTGTTCTAGTCAAGTTTCGAACGATTCTTGTCAAGCTGCATCAACAACTAATGTGACGTGTCTTTGGTGTTCAAAAGCTTCTAAGTGCAGTAATGGTCAAGACGTATACACTGCATTTTGGCAACAAAAGAAATGTAATGTAAGTACTCATGAACATGATTTGATTGTTCATTCTCATGGTTGTGTCCTATTGTCCTATTGTTAATCTTCTTACTCGATAAGAAAATCCTTTTACTATGGCTACTGATTTCTACTGTAAGAAGTCCCTGCGCAGTCTGCCAACATTCTCACTTGCAAGCCTACACGTTTGTCTAGTAAAAATTCAAGCAGATTTAGGGTAACACTATGGAGATAGTAATCTTTCGGTCAACTTCAGAAATGGAATTATAATACTTCTAATTTATTGAGGTGCTCAATGATACCCATCGAAGTATGATAAATTATTGTCTGCTCACAAATATACGTTCACAGAATAATGCCAAATATGCATGCTTGTTTGTATTTGTATTGTTTTTCAATGTGACAATCAGGATACATATAACGTCACAAATTCGAGTCATCAGTCAGTGCTTTCAGTCTGTTTGTCGAACAGGCAGTTAGTAAATTATGTGGAAGTGATAGTTTTCACATCCTCTATATGCTTATTTATAATCTTACTGCCGAAGTAGCTTCAAGCGTACATTAGGATATTATTTTGAACAAAATAAACTATCGAAAGAAAAATTATTTATGTCGAATCAAACGTATTCTTATACTTTTCAGGTAAGCTCAGAAGAGAAAACTACGAAAACGGAAAAGAATCTGCAACTCCGTAGACGTAACCTATACGTCGTGTTACCGATTGTTATACCAGTTCTAATTTTAGGCCTTGCCTCGGCCCTTGGGATATTGATATACAAAATGAAAGTAAATGTGAGTTACCAGTGAAAAGTGCGCCCAAATTAAACATGTTTGAATATCTAACATTCTTATGTTCATTTGAATAACAGAAAATTGTGCATTCCAGCTGTGATATACATGCAGTATACGAAGCGAGTTGTGGTTAGCTGAAACGTCAAGCATTCAATATAATGAATGCTTCGTTCCTTCTAAGATATATAGTGCGATCGACGAGAATCATGTATTGTAGTTAAGTGTGACCATTATAGAAATTGTAGCTTATAAACCAGGTGTGCAATCTGATATTTTCGAAACATGGAAACATTCATGACAGTTGTGTATGTATTGGTTTTGTGAATAATAGTTACTCCTCATACGAGAGGGACGTTGTCATCCAATTTCAATAAATAAGTACTTTTCTCTTTAACCTTTTGGTTCATTTTTATATCTTTACTCTCCTTTCAGAAGCTGAACAAATTGTATCACTTTAGTCACATTCATCGACAACTCAATTCAATATTTCAATAAATCTTGAAAGCCAACATATTTTTGTCGAAAATTTTCAAAATATTATTGAATAATTACATCATTTAGAAATTGAACAAATAAAATTAGTTTGACTTTGTTACTATTATATTACTTTATTCAAATGTCTTGTCTTGAGAGTGAATGTGTTATTTACAGCAAACTGTTTGTGAACAATTTGTTTATCATTTCTCCTTTGCAATCTGAGCCGAAATCGATTTTGGAACTGTCGGTCACTATTCCATATAAACGAAATGAATGTTAGAAATGGAAGTGATAATCGATTTCGGGACAATTAGAATTGTCGAGAAGTTGATTCTTTGAGATCATGGTCTCCAAAATCATAACGTTAGCATCCAACGTTTATTTAATTCATCTTCAAACAATCTATGATGCTGCCTGAACTTTTCACGTGTAAACCTAATTGCTAGTAAAAATTCAACGTGGACAATGAATAAAGTGTACGGCGACAATATCCATGATCCCATAACAATTCCTCAACCGCGATCACCAATAATTCGCTTAGCTAAATCATTTTCAAAGATATATTGTGGTGCATAACAACTCAATGAGATTAGTTCAGGCTTTGCACCACTATTGTTTAGACTGCAGATATGACGAAAATTTGATTGACTCACGATTTCAATAAAACCGTCCTTCATTCGTATGGCATCCAACAGTGTATATCATTTATTTTGACTTAGTCGTAATTATTGTATTTTTATTTGAAGCGTATTTTTTGGTAATGTTGGTGACAGTAATGACAATAGCAAATAATTTTTACCATGGATGAATCTTGAAAAATCCAAATAAATACTTTAGCAGGTAGAATAACGTGAACTCACCCTAATAAGCGAACGTCGGTCAACTGTTGAAAACTTCAACATGATAGTAATATTCCTTATATAAAATAACATTGTGCTTACTACATTATCATGGTAGTTTGTAGATTCGGAGTCAAAATGAATAGGGCGTTTCTAGACGTCGAACTGATATTCAAGCATCACATGAATGGTCAAAAACGTGCTTCTTGTTGCTCACACCCTTATCTACTAGTTTACATGTTCTTCGGAAAGCAGAAACACTGATAAAATGATAGAAGTGTTTTAGAGCATTAGGCCAAAAGTAACTCTTTAAACAAGTGTGCTATGAAATTCTCTTCGTCAGCTTCATTTCATCTTCGGACTTACATTTTTATTGAATAAAAATAATTACTATTATTCATTCTAACAAGATCTGTACTAGGTCAGTTTTGTTACAGGAATAACACAACCATTTTGTATTATTTTGGAACAATCCTGTTACTCGATTTTACTTTGTTGTTTCTTCCACAATATTCTCATATGTAGGGCAAATATAATAATTTTTGTAAGCATTCACTCATTTCCAACAATTTTTACGTAGGAAGAATTCAGCTAAGATTTATTTTTATTTTTACACTCAGAACTGATAATTGATTACAAAGAGAAATTCACAAACTAACGGACGTTGACAATTCCATCGTCATCATTTTCGTTTTAATAGCTAAATCATGCACTTTGCTAAACAAAAAAGGAAATTTTATTTTATACACTACAAAGTACAATAACTGAGAAGCGAATCACGACGATGATTTATTCGAATGATCTCGCGTCAATTTTGATATTTAATGCCGAACATGACATTACTCTATAGCTCGAAATTGGCAGATAAAAATTCAACAGCTTGCAAAAAATATCTTCTGCGATGCAAAATCGTCAGCAATTTAGTGTATATTTGAATTTTAAAATATTATTATCATACATATTATGGACTGTATTGTTGCAGTGTTAACGATTGGCGACTGTCTGTGAAGAACTTATTTCAGTGAAATTCAGTGAAATTTCGATAATTTTGTCAAATTGAAAATAAGTAGGTTTTTCCCATTTTAAACGATTTTCCTCTCAAAAACCTTGTATTTAAACCACAGTGCCTAATGGCAAATTTTACCGTAAATAAAACTCAATAAACTGTACAACCCTGAAATAATATTTATATTTCTTACGTTCATTCTGCAACATTTTCTGATATAATTCAATACAACCTTCATATACGCATTCTAATTTGAAAGTGTGAAGACGTTTAAACCAACACATGTCGTAGAATGTTTGAATCACAATTCGAATTCATTTCATTTATTACCTGTACGTATTACCTTGTGTATAAGCATACGTATATAAATATATATATATATTTATAAATACATATATATATATATATTTATATATATATATGAATTGTTTTCACTCGGAGTAAAGTTTTGTCGAAAATGTCGATCAAAATTTTGTCAACATCTATCATCAAATAAAAATCATTTTTGTGAAGTCTCTGTCAATGCTTTCATCAGGCAAACGTATGTCAATTCGTTTTCCTCTCATAGAAAAACGAAATTACAAGAAAATACTTTAGTGTATGTTGTGCTGAATAGTAAAAATGAACATCTCACTAATGACTAATCAATTTGAACAGAATAAATTATCAAATATTTTAGATAAATGAATAAACTTTCAAGAACTGATGAAACATATTTAAATGAAGACTTTCAATTTTGAAGGAATATTTAGTGAAGTTTTATTTTTGTGAGTTATCTTTATTCCATGAGATTTGAAGTAGTTTATGCAGAAGTTTCTTTTTTGTTAGTAGAATTTGATCAAATTTTGGATCAATGAACTTTCTGATGATTTCATTTCACCAAGACCTCAGAAGTTATCGCCTGTTCTAGAGCCGGATAAACGAGGAGTGATAAACGACACACTACTATCAGGAATAGCTAGATCTTTTTGATGCCCCATGATGAAAACCGAGTTCTTTCTCAAATCACAAAACTGACGGCCACTCTGACAACAACAGCAACAAAAGTAGGGTACATTGAATGTTGAAACGTGGGAGACCGACGGACTATTATAAATTGCTGAATACATGAAACGATAGAACCTGATGCAAGTTGAAAACATGCTTCAAAAGGGTTACTGTTTGACTCTGTGCATTAAGATGAATAGGCCCCTGACACACACGAATTGGCACCAACGCTGTCCAAACCACAACAAAAGAAACTGATTACATAAGGATCTCATGTTCGTAGGGTCATCGAAACGTCCCTCATGAAAAAGAAATGTGTTATTACAATCAACGTTTCCCAGTGGTATGAAACTACAAGGGACTACAGTTTAGACGTAAAAAAAAATTAAACGAGAAGCTAGAGTCCAACTACCAGAGAAGCGCATCGAAGTTTATGATGATACTGAATGCAGACATTGTCTGCGTGAACGTAAATTCATATGAGAAAACCAAATTATGACAATTTTACCAATACAATCGTCAGAATGATGGAGGAGAACATGAGAATTATTGGGAGATATGATATTGTTTCAGAACAACAGTAGCTTGTCCTTGTGCAGTAACTCCAGATAATGTGGTCAACAAAGCGACTAGCAACGCATTTATTTATTTACTACATGATTTTCTCTAACTAGCGTAAAACTCATCCAATTCAGAATAACCCTTCGCATCAGGTTCAACAACTTTCCAGGTCTACTTACTCAAAAGCTAAAACCCTTGTGGATCAATAAGAAAGTGCACTTGAAGGCGATGAATTCAGCATATCCGGTGAATCAGGTAACAAGAAGTATCTGCACAGAGAATTATAACTTTGATGATGAAAAGACAACAAATCCTTCATATTTTACTGTCAATTACGGTCATTAGATAATTTACAGCACTTCCAACAACAAGAAACGATTACTTTTATTACACAACAAAATAAAAATGCGTATTCTATTAGCACATACTATCGTTCAACCCACAATACCGAAACATTTACTTTCCATTGAATATTATCATCACAAAACTACTTTTGTAACGTTTATCATTCATCCATCTTGGAACTGTGTGCTTACGCCTATGTCAGAAACCTGCATGTATAACCAGTGGGTGAATTCTAATGAATTGAGAAAACCAGTGCAAGAGATCATCTCATACACATATTTACAAACAGTTAGTTAGCTGATGAAAAGACAACAAATTCTTCATATTTAACTGTCAATTAAGGTATTCAGATAAGTCTGTATGCAAATAACGCTCTCAGATACATAACATAATAATTAATTTTATTTGGAAATGAAAGTGTTTCAATTCTTATCAGTAAAAATGTGAACTGAGCTAAAACAAATCAATGAATTTATTCAAGTTTTGTTTGACATTACGAGATTAATCTGACTCTTGGAATTTAATTTTCTGACAGTGTCACAAATGTGGTAATATGTCTTTTTTAGAATCCATTTAGTGAATACATTTCACTAGTGAATTCGCAGACAGATGTTCAATCAGTGTAAACAAGTCTTCAAATGAAGCTGTTGGGGTCACATACGTAGAAATATGTTTTTTGTAAAATTCATTGAGTCATGGTTATTTCGAGAATGAATGCTGGAAGATAGTTCGTAATTATGATCAATTATCCTCACGTTGTTATGAAGTTCCTTCAGACTGAATACTGTTTATCAACGATTGAAGTTATTCAGTTTCAGTCTACATAATGAATCAAGAAACAAAACGTCTTGATTATAGCTTTTCAATTTTGTCCTCAGAATTATCTGATCACCGTAATTGACAGTAAAATATGAAGAATTTGTTGTCTTTTCATCATCAAAGTTATAATTCTCTGTGCAGATACTTCTTGTTACCTGATTCACCGGATATGCTGAATTCATCGCCTTCAAGTGCACTTTCTTATTGATCCACAAGGGTTTTAGCTTTTGAGTAAGTAGACCTGGAAAGTTGTTGAACCTGATGCGAAGGGTTATTCTGAATTGGATGAGTTTTACGCTAGTTAGAGAAAATCATGTAGTAAATAAATAAATGCGTTGCTAGTCGCTTTGTTGACCACATTATCTGGAGTTACTGCACAAGGACAAGCTACTGTTGTTCTGAAACAATATCATATCTCCTAATAATTCTCATGTTCTCCTCCATCATTCTGACGATTGTATTGGTAAAATTGTCATAATTTGGTTTTCTCATATGAATTTACGTTCACGCAGACAATGAAAATAATAATAATAATTATAAGATAATAATTAATTTCGTTTGATAATGAAAACGTTTCATTTCTAATCAGTAAAA